ATTCTTGTCTGTTCAACATACTGTGCCAACAAACAAATTACTACACAGAATAAATGATTACAAACTCACTCAAAACATAGGAAAAAATATTAAATATATGATTTAATATTAAAAATAATAATAATAAAATAATACTGATGACAATCTGAAATGACCACAGAGAAAAAACAACAAAAACAGCAACTAATGATTACAATGATAGTAAGATAACTAACCAATATCAATAATGATAATAGTAACCTAATACAGAAGAATGAAAGGAACAAGAAAAACCTCATATTTATGTTAAATCCCACCTCTTCTGTACAATGTAAATAAAGTAGCTTTATTTTTATTTTTAAACTGGTTTATGCCTGGACATTGTTTTAGTTCTATATTTAGTTCATTCCAAAGTTTGACCCCAAGTACAGTGATACAAAAACTTTTCATAGTTGTTCAGGTACCACATATTTTGAAATCCAGTGTTCCTCTTAAGTTGTACCCTCCCTTCCTTTCATAAAACATTTCCTGAAGATGTTTAGGTACCAAGTTATAACATTTTATTCCTAAATAGTAGGGCTGCCACGATTAGTCGACTAGTCACGATTATGTCGACTATGAAAATTGTCCACAACAATTTAGTGGTCGATGCGTCATTTTTTTACTTTAACTTTGTTTTTTTTTCTCCAAACTGCTGCGGCATCTTCCACTTCCACGTCTGCCTTTCTGTCCTTGACATGCATGCACAATAGTGGGTTGGCCACGTGCACACATGCGCAGTGGTATGGCAAGCCCTGAGGATCATTAAACATATGTATATTTATGTCGTTTTCTAACCTGAAAATAACGGGACAGTGTTTTTTACGCGCAAACGTGTTGTGAATCAGAACGCGTGATGACGTCAATAACGTGTGAACGCATGGTGGCGTTAAAAAACGTGGTGGCGTTTTCTGCATGTTTTATAAAGAAGAGGTGGTCGTCGTAGTGATCATCCAGTAGACCTTCGGACATTTTATCCAATCACTGCACTGCAGGGCAGACACAACCAGAGGATCCCAGATCTTTGGGGAAATCCAGATATATTCTCTTTTCTTCTCTAGTCCTTTCTTCTTTTTTTCTCACACTCACAAATTTGTTTCAGACATGTACAATGTTCTGTGGCCGGGCTTGTGCTTTCATAGTTTTATGTTTGAATGGACCAAACGATTTGTCATTAAGAGGTAGACTTAATTACGTGTGTTTTGTAACTTGTAGTTCCCCTGACCTGACAGCAGGTGTATGTAAAAGATTGGAATCCTGCATGAATTTATCAATCTGCACACTAATTTTCTATTTGAAACGATATCTCCCACCCCTTTTTTATTTATGGTAATCACTGAACTGTTTTAACATGGGAAATGTACCAAAATATATAAAGTGAAATATTTAAAGCCATTTAAAGTAATCTCAGGAATACTCGGCATTCTTGTTTGAAACACTTGTCCTCAGAACGATATATTATACTTACATTTTTTCCTTGTATGTTTAATATATTTTGCTCTTTGTGTGGCTCTACACTTCTACACCTGAATTTCCACTCTCAGGACATTAAATTATATTTCTATTTATTTGTTTACTGACTGACTGAATAAAGGAACAGTCAATCGAAACCCTCCTGCCTTTAAGCTTTGAATTTCCCACTGTGGTACAATACAGGATATTTGTATTTGATTCTAACTTCTCATAGTTGGTGATGTTAACCTTATTTTTGTTTTAATTCTTTGAGATTTGGAAGATATTTTGGACAAAGTAAAACACAAAAACTTTTGTAGTTGATTTGATAACAATTTACAGGATTTGAAGCCAATTACAAATATTCCTAATTAAGAATCTACATCAAAACATTTAAACTGAACTAAACAATTTTCTTTCAAACTTTCCCGAGCCGTGTGAGCCTTTGACTGCCATTTCCATGAGTCGTTCATGTCTTCGGCACACTGCACTCCTCTTGGAAGAAACATTGTGATGCTGCAGGTGGAAGCGTGGGGAAGTCGTCGTTCTCCTGGCTCCTGGTCATAAAATTCAATTGATGGCTGCTCATTCTCCCACCAAAGTGGGGGGATTACGTCTGTCCCCGACACAAAGATGAGCAACTGCTCAAAAGAGAGGTCAACTTGTCCATCTGTGATGAAAGAAATAGAGAGCTCAGTGCCCATCTGTGAAGATTTAGACTCAAAAATGTTTTTCATGTTACCTTCTATGGCATCCAGCAACCACTTCCAAAAGAAAATGGTCTCCTCTTCTTTCTCCCTTTGGTTGCTTCCGGCAGGACTCCATGTTATCGTGAAAAGAGACTGCATGCAGCTCACTCCAAGTTTATCACCTGTGTTGGTAAACACAGGTGGAAACTGCATACAGTTTCTTTCCACTACCTGCCAGAAGTCCCCACAATGGTTGAATCCCATCTTGTACTGGCTGACCATGCTGGCAAACCTTTCAGTAAAAACAGTGTTAAACATCTTGTAAATGAAACCAGAGAGCGTTGACAGAGAGGAGAAGGTAGAAATGACTCAGCCTGGAACTGAAAAACTGAACCGACTACATATATATGTATGTATATATATACATA